CCATTTCAATCGGCCTCGAACTCAGGTCTGTTTCGAAATCCTGAAAAATACAAATTTATCTTCTCTGCTGTTGCCTTGAATAAAGATTTTATCCCATGTTGCTTCAGTACCACTAGTCGAGAAACGTGTAGCAAGTGCTCGACTAGCGAACATCGGGAATTGGGCAAGTGGTACGGCAATGCTGCCTCGTGCGAGTTTCATAGGAAGGTATTTCGCCTTCGCCCATTTGGTAGCTGACTATCCCGTGTGATAATAAGCACAAGGTTTAATCCCTGTTGAAACATTTGCTGTTTTCGTGGACTTTTTCTCTAAAAACCATCCTTACATTGTTATACCGATTAGTACCTTGAACTGGTTTGAATGCTGGAACACCTTAGAAAATCTTCGATTTTATCTGGTCTTGAAACTCATCAGTGACAAGATAAGCGCTGCAGTAGTTGGGCTTTCAAGAATTTTACGCTTACGATATGCTTTTTTCGATAGTTCTATACGTGCCGCCAGCAGTTAATAGGTTCACTGAAAACTTACTTATGTAACCTGTAGAAAAGAGGTAATTTATAGAGTAAAATGTTAGCCATTGCTAACAGAATGAGTACACATGTTTCTGCACAGAATCAGAAACTGATCGATTTTTATCGTATTGCTGTCGCGTATCTATTGTTGTTTCACCGAAAATTTGTATTCCAAAATATGCACGACTTGTCTGCATCGATACAGCGAATTTTCCTTAACGCGCTCACTACCTCGTGAAGATATGGCCAGAGTTTTCAACTGGGAAGTTCAGCGACGCAGGAAGGCGACGAACAGCGCGGCCGTCAATACCCAGCCGAACTGAATATCTGAGTATGAAGCGATATGCTGCGACTGCGATGTTTTGACTGTATAGCTAAACTCAGTGATGTAGTAAAAGACATCGGAAAACAATGTAACTCTTTATCGTTACAGCAATAATTGTTTACAGTTATAAGACTAACACACATGATGAGCCGCAATAGCTAATTTAAATTAGTTGCTCCAAATTTATACAGTCAGCTTCAGGAAAGCCATTTTATAACAATGAATATACAATTTCGCAATCATATATTGCTGTCAAAAAGCTAGCATGGTACTATGAGAACTGTGCTGTCTTGACACAAAGTTGACCAATGGTATGTCTAAGAAAACACCTGAGCAGATTTCAGAAATAAATACGATGGAAAACAGTGGGCACTTAAAATGTCTGTTACAAAATCCGCTTCGAAACTAAACAAGGGAGCAGCAGCAACGACGCAGACGGCCTGCGCTTAAATTTTTCACCCAACAGTATTTAATTGCTATAAAGTATGTTGGGAGCACTGTGTCAGCATATCGGTTAGTTTCGTTCGCACAACCGTGCAGACGAGGACGACGCGCGAGTGATGATGGTGCGAGCAAACACTGTACGTAACGTGCTGACGGTGGGTAGTCATAGTGTGAAACACTGCAACGAGCGATCACTGAACATCATTCAAAATTGGAGGTACAGACTATGCTGGTCGGTGGGCACGCGCGCGCCACGGTCGGTCGACGACCATTAGTCGCCGCATACATTCTGCTTGTAAGCAACTTCTGCTGATCCCTGCCACTGTAGGTACTGCTGCTGGTGGCCCGGCTGCGTGATGAATCCAATCGTGCCATCGATGACAGCCTCGTTGTTCGAATGCACGGCCGAGCCGGAAAGCGTAGACATAGGACTACTGGCGATGCTGCTCTGCTCGTCGTATACGTTCAAATCGTTGAAGAACATGTCTTGTTGCCGACAAGACACATCGTCCAGTGCTCCGTAGTCATGGTCCGCGCGTATAACGCGTTCGCCGAAGTTACAGTTGCTGTGCTGCATCTCAGCAAGCACGTGTTGGGACCAGCTGTTCAGCAGGTCGCCATCGTTTTGACAGTTGTTGACCATCGAGTGCCCAGATGAATCGCCAACTCCTACTCCGCCGCCGCTACCCAAACTCTCGGCCGG